CAGAAAAGCATGCAATAAACCACAATCTGAAGTGACCAGAAAACTAAACATCCCTGACAATACTTCAAACGTGATGCAGGTGTCAGCAAATTAGCCATTTAAATATTTCTACAACTTCTCAAAATTTGAACACAAAAAACTCAAATCAGTAATCTAAAACCAAGCAATACATTAAATGTACTTATCATTATTATTATATCTTAATTCTTTTAATGACCTAAGATGCTGCATTTTATCTGAATAGATTTATGAAACTCTACCAAGTTAGTTAAAAATTAATACTGATTATATTAGTTTTAAAATAACATTAAAGCTTATCAAAAATGTTCCAAATAATACTTTTTCAAATCTTTCGAAAGAAAAAAATAGACAACAGTTTCATAGCAAAGGGCATATGCAGAAATGAAGAGAAGAAACACATTTGAATCAGTGTTTAATTTAAAATATACATAAGCAAATCGTAAACCAGCTAAAACTGATGAAAGGTAGGAAAAGTTACCAAATGTTAACCATAAAAAAAGGACTTTGTCAATACACAACTTAAAAAAACTGTCAAGGCTACAAGGTACATACCAAACAAACGGAGCTGTTTACGTCTGGAATTCAGCACTGGTTAATCCTTATGAGAAACAGAGGTTGAGAAAAATTGAGTATGTATTCCAGAGACAAGCAAAGAGAGCCTCACCAACTTTTCCCAGAGAAAAGAAAGCATCCTCAAGGTATGCCCTAGAATTGCAATGTATCTGTCTCTTCTGAAGTTTACAATGGCACATCACCACAAAAGGTGGGCACTCTCTTTCCGCTTTTACAACAATTTGCTCCTATAAACTTAGGAAGGGGCAGAGCCACAGCCATAAACACAGGTCACAAGTAGTAGGTAGTCAAATGCTATCTCCAAATGTTTCCCAAGTCTTTACTCACACAAAGACTCAATAAGCCTATTCTATTTTTTTAACTCTTTAAATAAGCAATTCATCTAGTCTAGGTCAGATTATCATGAAATTAAGAACACCACTATCACATAAACTACTATAGGAGCTTCGAATATTTTACTTTTCACACAATAAGATATTCCCCATTTCTTAAGTTAAAAACTTTCCATCACATGTGCAAAAAGTGAAATTAAGAGAAAGGTTTAGGGACTTACGTTTAGTAGAAGTCACTTAGCATAAAAACCACCAGTATTATTATTTCTAAGGTTGCCAAAGTGTACTTCTATTAGACAACATAAAGGCAAAATAAGCAAAAATGCCTTACAAAAACCAAAGAACATATGCACATTTCAAAGCTTAGATGGTTTCTGAAATTTTCTCAAGTTATCCCGCTTTAAGAACCTCTTCTGCTATCTTTTAATAAATGAGATATTACCACTACAGACAGTAAAGGCATTTCTATGCTTAGAGTAACCAAAGCCTAAGCCAGTTAAAACCTAGAAAACATACTCACCACTAAATTATACCAGTATTTATATAATGGTATAAATTAATTATACCATTTTAACCTAAGATAAGCAGCAGTGGTTTCTTAGACAAAGGGATCATGAATATTAAGCCCCAAACCCAACAAAGGATAAAAACTCTCTTTCAAAATCACCAATATTTGTCACTGTCAAAATTTCCAAGTTTTTTATTCCTGGAATCAGCGATCACTTCAAATTTTAAAATAATTATGTAGTAATTCTCAGACATTAATAATAGTTCTAAAATTCTTAGAGGTGCTTGATTCGCCCACTCCAAACCACAAAACACATTCTGGCAATGCAGACCAATCTTCACCTCACAGCTCTAAAACTTACAGAGCTCACTTTTTTCTTATCTTGTATATCCTAAAAACCAGGAATATGACTATTAGAAGACAGTAAGATACCCCCAGGGAGGGAAGCTAATAGAGAAGATGACCTCAGATTTCCATTCATAACTGGAATGAGAACAGAGCTGGCATAAAGGGGGAAAAAAAGGCAGACAAAGTAACCTGGCAAAAAAAAAAAAGGACTAGAGGTGACTAATAACTAAAATAGCAGAGGATCCTTTGCATCTCCCAGTGTTCCAGTTTCTAAAGTTACAACAGTCATTTCTATTAACCCAAAGAGAGGAGTAGTAAAATATTCAAGTGAAAATTTCCTCTCCCACCCCCAAGAACTCAAACTAAAATTGGGATTTGGATCTCCTTTAAATGGAACAAGGGGCTACATCGTTTTCATTCAAAAGACTCAGTAGTTACTCAGCCTTTTCAAAGCACTTTACCATCATCAATTATTTCCCAGTGAGATAGCAAAGATTCCCCTGACCATTTTACTGATGCGGAAACAGACACCAACAGCAAAGGGAACAGGGGCAGGAAGAGGGGTGATAGGAAGCATCTGGGAGGAACAGGCAGGCAGCTAAAAAGGAACAAGCCCAAAAGAAAATGAGAGTCACATCTGGCTTATAGTTGACCATCATAACCCTTATTTTTTTTGAGCTCAGAGAAATTTGTGAAATATTTTGAAAAAAGAAAGTGCTTTAAAATGTCAGTTTAAATCTAATTACAGTCTAAACTACTTGGTCATAGACGTGAAGTTGCTTAGCATTAAAAAATACCCAATCTTCAGAGCACATACTGATTTCAGTTTATACCAGCAACTCATTCCCCCCCCCAAGCCTAACCAGTATGTTATCTATTGACCCAGAAAATAATCTCTCATAACAATGTATAGCTTTATATAATCATTAACAAAAGACACAAATATCCCATAAATCAGAAATAATTTGCAGTTACAACCCAGAATCTTGTTTAGAGAATTATGACAAAAATATTCCTTGAATTTGCCCTTTAAATAAAAGGAATACTTGTTCTACATTCACACTGATTATCTTAGCTATAACCTTGAAATTTCCAGGAATAGACTACTGGTGGGAAGTCTTAAACATCCAGAAACTAGCACGCATAGTAGGCTCTGAATAAACGCACATTGAACTCCATACTAAAGACAGCACAGGTGCTTAATAAAGATGTGTGGATTGAACCATAAATCCAAAGGACTGACCAACTGCCTCATGAGAAAAACTGATAACACCTCTTTAAGACTGACTCCAATGTTCTTTGCACAAATTAAGATACCATCAACTTCAAAGCATCCTCATGCATAATGCAGTAGTTATATTAATCTTTTTTTCCAAACTATCAATTCCAAAACAAATCAGGTTCTCTGGGGTAAACACGTATACACCCCCAAGAAGCTCATAAGGTTGCATGATATAAAGTGTATTCAAAAAACTTCAAAGCCATTCTAAATGGTGTTCGACTAAATTTTTTTTAAAACCTATCAAACTGTTTTAAAAGTTATGGATAAAGCTATAGCAGAACAAATACAAGGCATTAGGTGAGTGTTTATAAACTCCTTTCTCAAAATCCCAACTGGACTCATTTCCAAAAGCATATTTTCACATTCCTCCCATTAAATATACAAAACCACAAACAGCCTGAAAGAATATTCACCACTGGAAATACATTATTTAATGAGTAATTAAGGAAAAAATGGCAAGGAAGGCAAAATTGTCATTATCGAAAAACATTCCCAAGTACTGTTATCGAAAAGAATATGCATTTACGAACTGTTGTTATAATACAATTGCTTATCATAGAAAGTTGTACTCCATAAATGTACATCTTAAAATACTCTTCCCTCAAAACAGAAGTATGAATAGCTCTGGGGGCATTAAATATGCAGCCACATCTGCACTTGCTTCATGAAAAAAAAATCTCTAATAAATTTGTAAATCACATGATCACAAGCAAGTTACTGACGTTCCCTGCCTCAGTTTCCCCCTACTAACGAATCCATTCACGTTCTCTAGAGATGTTCTAAAGTCACCCCACAGTCAAGTCATAAAGGTTAACCTTCACATCCTTCAAATAAGGGGCAAATTTCAATTGTAATCACACTTTGTGATAACAAATGTTTAACAACGGTTTTTCAAGAAATCGCCAGTCTTAAATAGGAACCTGTAAGCAAATACCTGCGCTGCTCAAACATGGGGGGGGCGGGGAGACGGCGAATTACAGTTCGGGCCCCCGAAGCCCTGTATAACCCCAAGGCGCAAAATCAATGGAATTCGCCTACACCCAGAACGTTCTCCCTCTGGCTCTTCGCACTTGGATGGAGCACAAGCACTATCCAGGTGAAAAAAGCCAGAAAGGTAAGGAACCATTTCGGGGCTGTTTCTAAATGAAGACAGCAACGGTCCCGAGACTCAGGCCGCGAGGGCGCAGCGATCGCAGCTGCCTCGTGGCCCCTCCGGAGACTTGGCGCCCCCTCGTCCCCCTCGCCGCGCACTCCGGTCCCGCTTCGCCACGAGGGCTAGCCACCGGCGCCCTCCGCCCCCGCTAGGTGCCCCGCGGAACGCACCTGGCACCACGACCCGCGCCCGCTTCCCGCCACAGGCGCATCCTTCCGGGCTGTCGCTTCCCTCCCAAACTCCCAAAGTTGCCCCAAAAGTCCCCGGAAGACGCCCGGGCCCGTCTCAACCCAGATCACGCAAAGTCATCCCCGTTCCTCAGTCCCGCCGCCCACCCGCAACGCCCCCGAGCCCCAGGCTAACCCTACCCACGCGGGGATCTCCGCGGGGGGACAGGGCGCTGTCCGCCTGTGAGGTGATGGTTAGAGGACAGCGGCCGGTGCCCGAACGCCGCGGGCGGCATGGGCCCGCGGTCGACGAAGGGGCCCCGGCGGAGCGCGAGGGGAGGCGCGAGAGGGGCTGAGGGGAGTCCGCGGAGGGCACTACTTGCGGGGAGGAATCCGTGGCCTCAAGGGTGAGGCCGCCGGGGGTAGCCGACGAGGGTGCGGGGCCGACCTGAGACGAGACCCGGAGGAGCGGTGAGGGGGCGTTCCTCGCGAGGGACGCGCCGCCGAGGGTTTCCTCCCCGCCTGCCCGCCCACGGACAACGGTCAGGGCCCGGGTGCCATACCTCCGTCTCCCCGCTCCTTACGGGTCCCGAAGTCACCACAAGTCACCACGCACCTCGGGTCTCGGTAGGCGAAAGCAACGAAATTCTGTCACGCTGGTCCCGCGAGCCGGCACCGGGCTTCACACCGCCGCCGCCATGTTTGAGAAGCCGCGCGCGGAGCCGCGCATGCCCCGCAACCGCCAACGCCGCCCCGCCCCCCCGGCCCGCGTGCCCTGCGGTTGCCGCGTGCACGCCCTATGACCGCCGCCGCGTGCTGCGCCGGAGCTGGGGGCTTGGCAACCTGCCTGCACGAGCGCCAGCGCCCGCAGTGGCCGACGGTGAGACACTGTGAGCCCGGGAAAGTCCTTGGCGGTTTTCCCTCATCCCCCCAATCCCACGCCAAAAACAAGCCAGTCGTAGCCCATGCACCCAAGGCCGTGGAGAGCTCCTAAGTGGGACCCCCGGGTCCGCGTCAAGTTCCATTCTGCGAACTTGCTCGCTTTCGCCATCGCCTTCGACTCCTAGCCGCCACCCACCCTGGCCACGCACCCAAAAAGCAGGCGCTTCCCTAGGAACTCAAGCAAGTTCGAGGAGCAGGGAAAAAGCAGCTCTCGTTACAGCAGCTTGAGCAAAGCCACTCCTTCGCGGGTTGCAGCATATTCCTTGCAACAGCTTTTTTTTTTTTCCATGAGTTTTTGCCACGCATTCCCCTCCCTCCCAACTCCGCTTTCTGGATTTAGCTGTTTCTCTAAACCCAGGCTTGAGCTAACGGGAACTGGATTAACCTGCAGAGGAAATCATTTGCTCACTGACTGGGGAGCATCCCCGCCAGTGCATTTTGAGGTCCCATCTGCTGGCTCCCCCTCGTCCCAGGGAGGAGCCCATAGTGCAGGTGGAGGTCGGAGGTCGCCCTAAGAAGAAGGGGGTGTAAAACTTGCCTTAAAACAGCCCACGAATCTCAACACAAAATGCAGCAAGCAGAAAGCCAGAGAAAAACATCCGTTCCTCGTAAGGTTAGGTATAAACTCATTTTAAACTTTTGTTTGAAAAATAATACAATGTGCTATGTTAGCTAAAAGTAAACCATTGATTGGTAGGCCTTCTCTCTCTGCAACTCTTTTCCAAAGCTGGGTGTAGGTTTTGCATCCATGATCGCCTTAACTTAGTGTATAGGGCACTTTTTAAATCATAATTTGGAAGTCAGAGCCTGAAACTAAAACCAAAAACAACCAAACAAAAAAAATCTGTGGAATATATCCATTTTCTACAGAATAATGTAGAATAAAATAATTTTCATTCACAACTTTTGCAGCATCAAACAAAAGCCAAATTAAAGTGTTTTTATCGTATCTAAACACTGGTGAATGGTACAAAACCAAATTGCTCTGGTTGTTCTTGAATCCTTCAAAAATGAAAAAATAAATGTTAATGCAAAATTCAAGGAAACTTTAAGGCAAAAATAGACTAGGCCAATGATATGCAAATATTAAAGAAAGACTTGGTCATATCAATTGTATATAACATATATCACATAGAGAATGTTGAAATGGTTTAAGATGAAGGTTCAAAAATGTTTTTAAAAGTTAGAGATTTTTAATGGAAAGAAATTAGAGGTTTAATCTAAGCACACCCTTAATACGGGCAATAGCAGGGGTGGGGGACTTAAATTCTTAATGAGTGGCCACTGTCTTTCTAATCCTGATGCAATGGAAACATTTGAAATTCATCTCTACATTCTATATATGAAAGATTTGACTTATCATTTATACCCATTTTACATCTATGGACCCTTTATTAAATTATAGGAATAGTAATCTGATTGCTAAATTGCCTGTCTCACTGATGCCTCACTGATGCAACTTCCCATACTTCTCTTTTTAACAAATTACTGAAGCCCTTATTCTAAGAATGTAATTTACACTATCTGTATTAGAACATCTTCTCAACTACTATGTTCATCAGTGGATTTATTGAAGTGTGACTCTTTGTTATATTAAATATGTTATTGATAATGATAAAATGGCTACCATTTATTGAGCACCTACTATGTGCTGAGAATCATGCTAGTCTGGTTAGAGACAAATTTCCAATATTCGCAGTGTTCTCTCACAACTTTCTTATGAGGTAGGTGTACTCTCTAATACTTTGGAGCTCTTATTCCCATTTTACAGATGAGGAAAATGGATATTACAGAGCAAATAAGTGGCAAAGTTAGCTTCTGAACATATATTCAAATATTTTCTAACTATTCCTTCCACCCTTGTCGTCAGTCATGCTTTTATCATACACTATGTTTATAAACTTTCAATAATAATTATTTTATTTACTTATTTATTTACTGCTTTTCCCCATTTGCCAAAATAAATTTGACTGCTTTTTTAATCATGTTAACATAGGTTGGAACGTCATTGGGTTTTTTTTTACATTATATGGAAGTATCTTGCACATAGCAAGAATTTAGTAAATATTTTTCGAATGAGTAAATGGATGAATGGATGCCTGCTATTATGATGTTCAATTAATTTTGCCTATAAAATGCAAAAATGGGAGACTTTTAAATGGAAAGAGTAAGAGCTAAGGCTGGTGAAATCCAAGTTTTCATGATTTATTTTTCAAACCTCAAATTTGCTCCTGTGGATTTGCTCCTATAGTTCTGACCTTGCCCAAAACCTGTGACAACCTTAAAGGAGATACATCACCCCACCTAGTCCAAGTCCAATGCACAATACTCCTGTATCTCAAATGTGTTTGATTACTTCCTTTTGTACTTTTCTTCAGAGTTTAATATTAGACAAACAGAATGAAAAGATAATCTTCTTTCATAGATAAGCAAGTTTAATCTAGATTTTCATCAATACACACCCTTATAGTGAAACAATATTATGTGTGTACATGAAGTTAACATCTTAGGATGATTAGGGAAGACTCCTAGTTTTTTTACTTCATGCACTTCTTTCTCCATAAAACACAGAAGCCTAACTTAGTCTGGCAGAAACTAGAGATCCAAGGTGTAACTATTTATAGTAAACTCACTATTCATATTTTCACCTCAGTGAAAAAATCCATATAGTGGGTATTAAATAACTAATTAAAATAGTTACTGAGTTTACAAACATCTTTAAATGCTTGTTTCTAACAAATTGTCCTTTTTTCCCCATTAAACCAAGAGCACATATCAGTAAGATATAAGTTGGTTTTGGTGTTGTTATTTTTGGTTACAGTAAGCTTCTTTTCCTAACTTCAAAATAGTAACTTCTCTGGAAAGATATCCAAAAGTGAAGTCTGTGATAGGAGAACAGAGAAGCTAGTCTGATGGGAAGGCAGCCAGTGTGTTGTAGTGAAAGGATGTGGCTGCGACAGTGGACCTGAGCTCTGGTCTGGAATCTCGAGTCTGTCATCAACTAACTAACTATATTTCTTTAGAATTTTTTTCCCTTTTAAAATGAGGGTAATAAAATCTGCTACACTTATTTCACAGATGAGAAAGTACTATTTAAATGTATCAGAAAACCACATGGTCTTTACTGAACAGATCCCCACCCTTTACAAAAAAAAAAAAATTAGTCTTTTACCAACAACATGTATGACATCTAGGCTGACTTTGACCAAGTCAAGTATTTTATATGCTGTGAAAACTGGCATAACCTCAGTGAGCACTCTACCACGCTACACTTGACCTTTCATTCAGCGATTTAGTGAATGCTTGTTGTGTGCCGCTCTGCTAGAAGTGAGGATACCAAGATGACTAAGACAATTTGAATACTCCAGGAGTTTACAACCAGTCCAAAGAGGAGAGACAGACAGACAGACAGATATATGTTTTAAGATGTTCAGAAGAACTAGGATCTATTATCACACCCTTCATCACATCAAACACTTTTAGATGTACCCGTGTCATATATAACATTTATAACTAGATAAATGGAATTGCAGTTGACCAGCTGACAACTGGCCCTTTGAGCGTTTAGTTAAAACACTTATTAATTTTGATTTTATACTTTTGTGCTGGTTATTCTCCATTTGAGTCACCCTGTGCCCCTTTCTTCTAGGACCTCAGTTCTGGCAGTAGCAGTGGCAGTGGCTGCTCCACAGCTTTGGTTCTCACTGGGTCTTCAGGAAGGTGAGTGAGTATGGTCTGGGGGGAGAAGCAGGTACATCTGGAGAAGCATGACCCAGTCCCTAGCTCCTTCAGCATCCCTGTTAGTTCCCTTAAACCTACCCACACCTCTATAAATACTTCAGTAAATTCTCTTCAAAATCACTACAACTACCTTCTGTTCCTGCGGGACTATTATTGAAACAGTTTTCTTTTCATATGTCAAGCCAACCAACTGTGGGGATAAAGGCCTCCAATATTTCTGTAAGGTCTTTGAGAACTTCTAGACCCGAGGCACTGTGTCTATAGCACCCAAGGGTTTCATAGCCTGTCATATGTAAGTCACTGGAATATTGTGAGCTAAGAGTGGATAAAATTAACCTGGAGAAAGTGTCTTAGAGTGAAGGTTAAAGGAGATAATTTATGAAAAGCACCTAAATGCTATCTGATTGATAATAAACACTCCATACTAGTTCCTCATGTGCCTGTTTCTTAAGAGGGTAAAAGAAGTGACATTTGAGTTGAGAGGGGAAGAATGCAGTTTGCCAAACAGACACAGAAGCTCATTGGGAACAGCATGTGCACAAAGTAACGAAAAGTCACTGCAGGGTCTTCGACCAGTGAAAGGTTCCTTGTGCCAAACAAAATAAGAAGGGGTCAATTTAGTCAGGTCTTGGAGTGCTAAGGTGTCTGAATTTCATTTTGTGGACAATGGGGAGCCACTGAAGGTTATTAAGCAGAAAAGCTGTAGAAAGAGTTGCAGATCCCGCAATTCCTCTAGCTGCTCCTACAGCTCCAAGGGCTCTGCTCACCTTTCCTGACAGAAATGTGACCTCTGCAAGAGCAGCCTGAGATGGGACAAGAGCTGACAGGAGGCCACTGGTTCTCCAGCAGCAGCCCTGGAGAGTGCCAGCTGGAGTGGGCGGAAGCTGGGAGCAATCAGAGCAGTTAGGGTTTAATGGTTATAGGGAGAGTGACAAGGACCAGAGAAGACAGTGGGCCAGCTGGATCAACAATTCCACAAGGCCACTTCAAATGTGCTCTCATGCTTTTGTTTGTTTTCCCTTCAATTGAGGTTTAACCTACACACAATAAAGTGTACAAATTATAAATGTACA